TCTGCCCTCCCAAAGCTGGCCAACTGACTTGCAGAGCCAGGACAACCTCGCTCACATTTCAAGGCTGTGGCTGAGGAATAGGTACTCGACACTCGCTCCCACTGGGCCATGCAGTGTCCACTAGTGGTTGGTGACTATGCTGCCCACACGCCATTCTCCTCTGTGGGCTGAGGGATCAGTGGATTCTATTACTCATTTTGCTTCACAAGTATCCTATATTATTTATGCTAAGCTCATTGTACTTCTGTCATAACATAAAGAACCTTGGGCAATCCATATAAATTTAATCAGCTGCTTCTGCAGAGTGGGACTCAGGTTGTACCGAAAACTGTGGGTACGATTAAGTGAGAGGCTGAGTTTGAAAGCATCTGATCGACTGTGCCAAACATGTAAATATAGTGACTATCAGAAAATACTTCTCAGTAAGAGATGACATGTTTCTGGGCAAAGCACCTCACACTTTGAACTTCCTTACTTGAGTGTCTGTGGGTCAGGAAGAGCAGACGGTGTCCGTAAGCATGAACCATACCTACGTGCAGTGAGTGCTTGCTTCTTCTGTGTTTACAGCCTGTGGAACGGATGTCTGTTAAAACAGTGCCATGCTCTCGCACGTGGAACAACTTCACAACTGTCCCTCAAGGTGTGATATACACATTACCAGGTTTAAAAAAAGAAGGTGACAGTTGGAGGGTCTTAGAGCATCGGTGCAAAGGCGGGAACAACGTGAATGGAACGTGGATCGTTTGACAGGGATCCGGTACTTCCAAACATTCTGAGTGGTGGACCACAGTCCAGGACCCACTCACGTGTCAGTACACAGCTGAGATAAAAACCTCAGCGAGGGCGGGCAACACTGACCACACATTCAGTGCATCCTCTCTCCCTCTCACCTCTCGACAGAGTGACTCACAGCCTAGGAGTCAATCTGGAAGAATCTGGTCCTCAAACAACCTCCACTGGATATGGACAGTAGGATCTAAAAGAACAGGCAGGAAATTAAGATAATCTTAGGACGTTCCATCAATAAGAAAAGACTGTCCAGACAAATTAGGTATTTCTTAGGTTTGTAACTTTGACACTTGGTAGTCAGTTCTCATCCCTCACGATTATGGACATTTAGACCTAACAGACACAGGTTACTAAAGTGCATCCTTGTTACATTTCCCTGCCAAACACAGACAAGCTACGGATTATTCCTTTTTCCTTTCTCCTAGATAGTGATGCCAGAGTGGCTGTCAGTGTATACAGCTGGAGTTCCCATCTTTAATGGAAAATTCTGAGATTTCTTTGATATCCAAGATGTACATTTCTTGAAGCCCACTCCATGGGTGCACGTGCAAATGCCGATGTATACTTTTAAGTCACCACTGTGTTGATGACAGAACAGCCCTCTTTGGTGGGAGCCATTCAGCTCATAAAGAAAGAGTCTGAGACACTGAGACAGAAGTGGCATTGCAAATACTTCAATGAATTCTGTAGAGACCGTTTGAGACTTGGTTTGAAATGTAAAATAACTATATCCCGCAACATCTGAAGACAGCTTTTGACTCCAGCCCCTTCACACATCAGCCTGTGCCCACCCAGCTCTCAATGAATGAAGCAGTTCTTGCCCCCTGCTTCCAGGGTGTTCCGAGTTTTACCTGATGGTGCCAATAGATGTTAGTTCACTGAGTAAACAACAGGTGAATAGCGGCTGTCCTATTTTCTTGCTATTTTTTTTAACTACTCAAAGTAATTTTAAATACAAAAGGCCAAGGCCACACAACATGGTGGCCATCAGTCCCTCATCACTGTGGGGAAGGCTGAGTCTAGAGAAGAAAACACCCAGTTCTAACTGACCCATCCGTGTCTACATGTAGCATTCTGTGAAGGAAGCCTATGGTCTTCAAATAAGTGCCGTATGTGTGCGTGCGTGCATGCGTGCGTGCACGAGCGCTCAAGAGTGTGTATGCACCATGATGTACCTCTGGAGGTGAGAGGACACCCTGGGTGTCGGTCCTTGCCTTCCATCATGTTTGAGACATCAGGGCCTCTTGTCAGTTGCTGTGTTCTCCAGAGCAGCCAGCCTGGGAGGTTTTGGAGATTCTCCTGTCTCCATCATAGAAGCACCGGACTGCACACATACACTACCATGTCCATCTTCAAAGGGTTATCACAAGCTGAACTTCAGTCCACATGCTTGAGTGCCAACCTTACCCATGCTGTAGTGAAGCCCCCACAGTGATGCTCTGGTGATGCAACTGTTTGCTAATTTTGCTGAAGTATGTAGGCTGCCTACCCGAGCCAGACCAATGTAGCCTAACCAGGTAAGAACATGCCTTTTGGTTCTATACCACATCTAAACTTATCTCTGATAGGTGATTGATGACTTCATTAATGTACTCTGGAAGCACGGGAGGGCCCCTGTCCTGTGAGATCTGGCCACACTCACGAGTCAGGACGGCTCGCTCAGATATCCTGGGAATGGCAGGCTAAGCAAGAGTTCAGTTCCATATGGCTGTCCATCCTGTCTGCAGCTGTGCACGGTCCACATGCTGGCTCTCCTTGTCTCATTGAAAGAGTCCCAGTATCTCACAGAGTGCCCTTCCATAAAATGGACTGCTTCTGGAAGACAGGATGCTGCACAAAGGCCCTCCTTTCTGGTAAAGATGACCTATCCTTGAGGCATACCCAGACAGAGCCATGGTACTGCTCTCTGCTGCACACTCTGAGTGGTGCTGAGGGAGGCAGAGAGCATGCTGGACCAACGCCGCCTCTCTGCTTTCCTCTCCAAACTCATTCAGGGAAGGACACGGTTGCCTGCATTCTCAAGGCTGGAGTTTGCCTTGTTTATGAGTCACATTCAAGAATGATGACACCCAGATAAAATTTAAAAACCAGCATAAAAAAATCACCATTTCACATAACTTTCAAACAATGCTAAAACGTTTTGTAGATTAGTAGCAGCGATGCAGTCTATGAAATAAAAATGCTTCTATAAAACAGGGTGACGGGTCAGCTAGGATGGCTTAAGTGGGTAAAGGTGCTTGTTGCCAAATCTGAGTTCAAGTCCCAAGTGAGCCCACATGGTGAAAGAGAGAAGAGCTCCGACAAACTGCTGTTTAACCTCTGTACACACAACCAGACACACAACACACAGCTTAAAAACAAACAAACAAACAAACAAACAAACAAATAAATGTATGTTAAAAAGTCAAAAGCCAGAATTTGGCGATAATAAATGAACAATTCCTGGAGGGAAGGAAAGGCTGTGGGTTTGGATGGAGGCTCTGGCGCCCTGCAGGGCAAGGAGCAGATGTATCCTGGGACCTGAATCTCCACAGAGCTCTGCTGCAGGATGAATACACACATCGTCAATCAATCTGCTGAGCGAACATCTATCAGATTAGTCTACCTAGCTCTTCCTTACATTTTTGTTTTGTAAACATAATCCTTGGAACGGAAGTAGAAATGTTTACGTGTCAACTTTTATGTTTCTTTCCTATCTAGTTATATAAAGATGAACAAATCCTTTGGGGCTAACAGAAGCAGAAAAGAAAAAACATACTGTATTTTTAGACAAGACAAGGAGGGTTAAAGAGAGCATGAAACAGGTAGTGAAGGCCCTAAGAAAAATCAGAGAGAGAAAGAGACAGATGAATGCTGGTACAAGAATTGGTTTGCAGCCTCTCCAAGGTTGTCAACCCTATTTCCTTCCATCTTGGGACCATTATTTGGGTTCTTTTTGCTTTTTTCTGCTGGTCCCTGGCCCTCAAATAGGAGGACTAACTCTGTGATACAACAGATAAATAATTTGGTAGCAAAACCTACTCAGATACATTATCATAAGTTAGCTATGGAGGACCACGAGACTCAAGATGAAGTTGTTACTTTATACATGGTGTTTTCAAAACCCATCTCCACCTAACCTAAAAGGGGGGACTTCTGCCCCTAGACCAAGCAGAGAGGGGCCACCCAGAACCCGCTCTGACAGGCGATCTGAATTCTTGCTTAGGCTGCGAGGCTAAGCACTGCAGGGGAATATCAATAAAAGATAAAAATATCTAAATTATCTATCTGGGTTCCCTGAGGGACAAGCCTGACTGCTTAAGGGTTGATGTCAAAAGTATCCCCTCTCCAGGAAAAAGACATCGGGATGGGTATGGCCCACATGCCTCATTGGACAACGACAGGGGGACCGGAGCCATTACAAGGTCCCCTTCAAATACTGGAGGTCAGGCCTCTATCCCCGCATTCGCAAGTTTAGAATTGCCACAGCCCTTCTATACTTAGAGAAGGGAGGAGATGTCAGGGGCAGCCCTGCTTACACACTGTAGGCCTAAAATCAGCCATAGGCCTAAAATCAGCAATAGGCCTGTCACACATGTATACTAACACCAAGTCTTGGGTCTCAGTGGAAAAACATTGAAACAGATGGCTATAAGCTAATGTCAACAGGCAGCTTTTGTGGAAATTTACAAGCCTGAGTAGTCATAGACCTTGTAAATAGGTAGCCTTGGCAGACAATACCAACTTAGATAAGGACAAGCGAGTCATAGGCAGAGTCATAGTGACTTGTCCCCTGAACCTTCACCTAGCTGATACCCAGTTCTGAAGATATCTGTATTCCCCCTGAGCACCCACACTCCAGTGTCATTCCCTTCCCCACATCCTGCCTTTCTGTGTTTATAACCCCTGTGCGAATGAATTACGATTTGAGAAAAAAAAAATCGGGTAAAAAAAAATAAAGTTTTCCATTAAGGAAAAAAAAATACTGTATTTTAAGAGCATGTACCCACAGAAAGCCTTAGTCCAGTATTTCAGCTTCCAAAAAAGGTAAGTGTATACACAGTGTATACACAGATGGGGCATACATGCCAGATGGGACACAGACATGGAGGCTTCAGTCATCTTTGTCTTTAACTGGGGAAATCTGCAATGTCTGAGACCACTAAGCCAGGCATGGGGTGAGACTGTGCACCAGGACCTTGGGTACAGAACACGGTGCACCACCCACCTACCTTTCTCTTCCTGGGAATGGGCTCATCGAAGAGCAGGTTGCTGGCCTCTGCCTCATCAATGCCATCGTCCGGCAGTGCGGGGCTACGGAAGGGCTTGAAGCTGTCAGCGGACAGTGGTGGAGAGGGTGTGGATGGGTTGGACTGGTCACTCGGAGCGCTCCAGCTCCAGTAGCCGCTGCTGCTGCTGCTGGATGGTGCTCCTTCCTTCCAGGACCCGCTGAGACCCTCTGTGAGCACAGGGGACAGCAAGTGAGAAACTCTGGGAAAGGGGTTCTAACTTCACCCCCACACTAAGTTCTTACCCACCGCAGTCCCACGGTTATTTCTAAGCATCTGTTCCAGCCACACAGCGACACGACTGTCTGTGCTCTCAGTGAGTGTTCTACTGTCCTTGGAACTGGTGGAGATTGTACGGGAACAAGAAAACAATCGGTACTTCTTGTTCACCAACTGCGGGGCTTCTGGTCTGCTGGCTGCAGTGCTTCTGAGTGGGACATTGCCCGTGGTAGCTTCCCACACACTCTGGCCACCAAGCCTCCACCCTGCACCTCCCCATTCCAATTCTACTGTTTCAAAATGGCATTACTCATATGACTATGGTTCTTGGGCTATACGCATAAGAAATCAGAGGAAGAATCTGTGAAAAATGGAAATTTCTAGATAGGCATCTAAAGCAAGCTCCCACTGCTGATTAAAACAAATATTAGGGTCTTACATTCTGACCGCTTTGATAGCCCTTCAAACTTCATTTTCAAAGTCACTGTATATGATACAGGGCTTTGTGATGGCATTTCCATATATCAGGGTCATGACCCCTCACTCTAATCCCCCCTTCCCTCTGCCCCCCCAATTACTAGTCTCCTCTTTTACACTTATCAGTCCCCATTCCTGCTTATATGCCCTGAGTTCCACTCTCCCACCCCCCATGCCTTGGGGAGCACATCTGTAGTTTCAAGCACTGTTACACCTGTCACACAGGGTAAGGAGTATCCCCATTTGACACTGGCACAAGAAGTTCATCTGCCTGCTCTCTACCTAGTAAATGACCCTGGCTGGCCAAGGCCAGAACCTGGTCTGTCAGTGGCCCTTGGTTTTGCAGAGCATGTAGGTCCTCCACTGTGGGCACCCTCTTATCTCTGTGGCTGAGCTGGATGGCATCAGACTTTATTGGCAATGCCTACTTTCTAGACTGGTGTCCAACTCAACTGTAGGGAGTCTGATGCAGAGATTTCTCCCTATTAACGTCAGAACAGGGGGCCTTTGGTCACTGTGGATTTACTTCATCTTTCAAGATGCCCAGACTTAATTAGCATTTATATAAATTCTACTTTCTTCCTGGATAGTTTCTCTTCCATATTTATGTGTCTTGTGAATATACTAAAACTAATTATGAGAGGGAGGAGGAAAATCCCAAAATACTATTAAAATACTATTAATTAAAATACTATTAATGTCTGTGTAATTACTAATGCAGCAAAGGTGACTAGCAGACCAGCATTTGTGGGGAATCATGACCCTTACCTAATCAATTATAAATTTCCAGAAAATTCCTCAACTACATCAAGGAAAAAGTTGAGTAGAAGTCACTTAAGGTTGGAGCTGAAGTGCTACAGAAGCTGCCACTTCATGGTGTCAAGTGTTTGCTGGAACGGAGTGCTCATTCGGCACCGGCACCTTGCTAGCATCACAAAGTTTCCTTCCTGCAGACTGACGGGAGAGACGGATGGATGCAGTGACCTCCTAGAACTAGCACGAGGCGTGAAAACCGGTGGCTTCCTTACACACCCTACCACACACTTGTTCAATACAATCAAGGTGACACTGCTGGAGCACGTGCAATCAATACAATCAAGGTACACGTGCAGCCACTGCTGGAGCAGCTGATCCGCCTCAGAAAACTAGAAATTCTCACAATGGGCTCTCATCTATTTGCAAAGCTACCTCCTAACAGAGCAATCCGTCTCAGGCAGGCACAGAGAAAGATCACAACAGGTCCCCAAATTCACTGACATACCATAATTCTGGAGAATGATATTATTCCTATCCAAAATAGTGACTTTGTTATAAATTGCCTCCCTTGCTTAAAATTTTGCTTTCTTTTGCAAACCAGTGGGAGACATCAAATTTAGTAGTTGAGTAGTTATTTTTAAAAGTTTTTATTTATATATTTGTTTATTTTGAGGCAGGGTCTCTGTGTAGGCTAGCATATCTATCATCTCTCAATCTATCTATCTATCTATCTATCTATCTATCTATCTATCTTCCTTCCTATCTATCTATCTATCTATCTATCTATCTTTCTATCTATCATCTATTTATAGGCAGGCTCTCTCTGTGTACGCCAGGCTGGCCTCATCAATTCATAGAGACCCATCTGCCTCTGTCCATTCAGTGCTGAGATTAGAAGCATGTGCCATCATGCCTAGGTAAGTAGTTGTTTTATTTTTTTAAACCATAAATGAGTAATGGCATACTTTTGTTGCTGAGCTAACAAAAATTTACAATTGAAGAATCAAAAGGTTTATTTTAATTTTAATCTTTAAGTACAAGTACAAAGTAACAATAGAAATATTCTCAATTTAAAAAAGAATTGTATAGTAAAAATAATGATTAATTTAAAAATATCTTTTCCCCTCTAAGTATTGGAACTCATTCCTAGAATGTTTTGGGGGGTACTCCAGTCCTCCAACCATGCTGCCTGGATGAGAAAGGCAAAGTGGTTTCCAAAGGCAACTAAGCAAGAATGGCCACTTCATCTCAATGCATGAGCTTAAGCTGTGTGTGTGTGTGTGTACATATGTATATATATATATATGTTCATCTGTATGTCTGTATTTAAACGCATATACCTACACACATACATGTGTGTATGCTGCCTGTTATCCTAATCCCAACTTTCCACTGTCTGTATGGATGACTTTAGATGCTCTCTCATGGTCTCAGAATACAGACTTCTAGCCAGGCATACAGGACCTGTCATGATAAAGGGCCTAGTATCATCCATCCAACTCCATCTCCCACTGTCTGCTTTCCCAATTCATCATGCAGATTAAATAAAGTGTGATTAGAAAGGCAGATCTGGAATGAAGAAGACAGGAACTAGAAATGTCGGTCTGGCATTTTTAAGTCAATTCACACATGCCTTGGCTTACTTATCTATAAAGTAGTGATAACAGTATCTGTTTCACTTGTTGGTAGAAATACGATGAAATAGAGCAAGCAGCACTGATAGCAAGTCAGTGCTCAGTCAGTGTGCTAGCTATTAACGAGGCCATGACTTTCCCCCTAGGAGACTATGCACTCTAGGAGTATGGCCACTATGTATATTCTGTTGATATATTCAGGTCTTCTAGATGGTATCTGATAAGTAGACAGTAAGCTCGTGAGTAGACTAAGTAATTCTCTTTGGTTATGAAGTGTGTGGTAATACTTTTACAAACTACTCAACCTTCAGTGTGCTCACTGGTCCAATCAAAAGGAAATGATGCTGGGAAAACAAGCTCGTTAGACCCTTCTCCAGTTACCCGAGGAAAAAGGCACATAAGTACTGCACAGATACGTCCTGAAACAGAGTAAACTCAATATGGAATTCAATAACTGTGCCTAGGTGAGCACATAAGAATCCTGGGAGAAGAGGTGGGAGATGCTGATGGCCCAAGGTCCCTATTTCCCACATATTCCCTGATTCGATACCAACTGTTTATTGAGAGGAATGAGATTGCTAGGAGAGAGAGGCCTTGCTCTTGGTGCTAAGGGGAATGTTCCCAAAGTCCATACTGTAGACTCACCATTAGGCCGCACAGGAGGGCTTCGAACCAAAGGGCTGGTTGACAAGCTGGTCAATACCATGGCTGCAGTCACCTTGTCCATGTCAAGTTCCTCTGAAGATTTTCTGTAAAACAGGAAGAAATGCTGTATGTCTGGGCTCACTCTATCCATGGCAGACAGGCAAGCCATTACAGGCTGCCACATTTACTTTCTAACAAATTCTCAAGGAAAATCCAGTGTTCTGCAAGTTGACTTATGGATAAGTGGCCAAGCGTGCCAGGAAGCCATATGCACCATGAAGAAGGGGGTGTGCTGATGAGCCAGAAAGATGCTGCTGCAGGTACCAGCAGTGCTGAATAAGACAGGCAAACTCACATGACAAGTGCTGACAGTGGAAGTACTATGAAGGGCATCAGCAGTGGATGCCACAGGGCCTAAATGTCTCTGAGGAGTGACTTCCGAGGGGATGTGAGGGTAGGGAGGATTGAGTCCAGGAGTGGAGACAAGTTTATTTCTACTGCAGTGGTATCCTGAGGTACGCTGAGGTACGCTAGAGAGAGGAGAGGTGCAGAGCTCTCCACTGGGCCCTGTGCCAACGCAATGCTTCTCGTTTATTCTACATGGAGAGGAGAGTCGCCGAACACTTTCAGAAGGCCCATGAACATAACACGGTTAGTACTTGCAGTCAAAGTTGATCTAGCATCATGCAGGATGGAGTTTAGGAAAGGTAGAACAGAAGAGGGAGGTGGTGAGATCGCCGACAGACTACAAATGAAAAAAAAATGGTGGTTGGGAGTGGGATGGAGTCATGACTGTGGGTCTGGTGGGGAGAAGTGATATCTAGATAGTTCTGGTATCAGCATGAGCACATCCAAGAGCCTTTACCAACGGGACAGCAACTAGGCAAGAAAAGCACTCAGAGGCTGTACTGGCTGGTTTTGTGTCAACTTGACACAAGCTGGAGTTATCACAGAGAAAGAAGCTTCAGGTGAGGAAATGCCTCCATGAGATCCAGCTGTAAGGCATTTTCTCAATTAGTGATCAAGTGGGGAGGGCCCATAGTGGGTGGTGCCATCCCTGGGCTGGTAGTCTTGGGTTCTATAAGGAAGCAAGCCAGTAAGTAACATTCCTCCATGGCCTCTGCATCGGCTCCTGCTTCCTGACCTGCTTGAGTTCCAGTCCTGACTTCCTTTGGTGATGAACAGCAATGTAGAAGTATAAGCTGAATAATCTCTTTCCTCCACAACTTGCTTCTTGGTCATGATGTTTGTGCAGGAATAGAAACCCTGAGTAAGACAGAGGTGTTTAAACCTGAGACACACACCCCATCCACTGCCCTTTACACTGTGTGCGCATGTGTGTGTGAGTACTTATGTAAGTGGGTGGGTGGGTCGGCGGAGGGGTTCTACATTATTCACTGAGGCAGGGTGGTGTCAGCCAGTGATCTCAGGATCGCCCATCTATGTACCTTTGGAGGCTGGAGTCACAGGTGAGCACCTGACAGCTAGGTTTCTAGGACTCTGGAGCTCTAACCACTGAACAATCTCCTCCACTCTGGACTCTGGGGCTCTA